TTCCTCATCTTTAATAAATGCCTGAATTCTGTCAGAATTAAATGGATGAATGGGTTTTTATAATGCTTGGGAGTCATGTGTAGACATGCCACAGGGTACAGATTAACCTGTATTTTCTTGACAGTCATGCCTACAGAATCATAGAAGAGTGAGGCTTAACGATATTCACTAATCCATTACTATCTGTCAGTGCAGGTTCAGCTCTGTTTAGGCAAATCCTTACCATTGCCTTTCTGACTTCTGAAAGATCTCTGCTAACGGAAGGTTTGCAGCTCTCCAAGACAGTCTGTTTCTGTGCTTCAATATTCCTTGCTTTAGAGAGCTATTTTCTAATTTCCTTTCTGTGATTCAACTGGAAATCATAGATACTGTGAGCATAAAGAATAGGTTATTCTCTTCCTTCTTCCCATGTTGTACGGTTATGCTGAATGTAAAAATGACAGGTAAGTGTTGCAGCAGGGCTGTGCTGTCATCCTCTCTGGAAACAGCCAAGGAAACACACTAGGAAAATGAAGCAAGGCATAGATTAGGTAGTGCAAGATCTTAATAAAAATTGATTTGAGACTTTTTGGGGATTTTATTTTCCTTCCAATGCTAAAAATTATGATTCCTTAAGGTACACGTGTTGAGTTACCCTCTATTACCTGTAACAGTTGGAAATAAAATTGTAACTGGTTCTGGTTTTTCTGCGAGTTGATACTTTAGAAACTATTGTACACTTGTTTTTACAAGAAAGTGGTAAAACTTATACCACTAAATATGCATTTCAAAATGTGTTTTGGCTGATGAAAAAGTTGGGGAGCAAATTGTTTCATGTTCCTAACAAGAGCAAGTGGCTGAGCCGGTCAAGGGAAGTTGCCTTTGTTCTTGTGAAGAATTTCAGTTACTGAGTAACAAACAGAATAAAAAGGCTCTCAAACGTGGAAACCGTCCATTGCAGTTCTGCTAGTGTGAAAGGTTAGTGTTTGGTGAAGTTTCATGAATAGATTAAAAGGAGAAAAGCACTGCTGTGAGTAAATTCACTTAAGGCAAAGTACATGCTTGAGCACTTAATACAGGAGCAGTGTTCAGGGAGTTCTGTGGAGAAGAGAATTTGCCGTTCCACTGCCATTTTTACTCTTTGCTGATATTCATTTATGAACACTGTTAAATGTATATAATACTTCCATTCATTGATGAAAAGGGAGGGTCAAAACAGAAAGTCAGGTTCTTTGCAGATGATGTGTAGAACAAGGTTTTGCTGTTACCATTAATAGGAGGTAAATCACAGAAAGTCCCCAGGGAGAGCAGAAAGTAAATTGAAATGTAGCTTAAGGGAGAAATTCCTGATAACAAACTGATTAAAGTAACTCTAAGTTGAAATACTAAAAAAGGAGAAATTGAGAATGAAAAATGCCGTGAGAATGGAAAGAAAATGAGGCAAGAGTAAGTATTGTATTGTGATGGTAACAGAACAGGCCAAGACAATTTCTAACTGTGCTGGTGTAGCCTTATACAACAGAAGAGTGTTTGTCTTGTGCTTTGCTGGCAGAGACACGCTGTATGCCATTTTGTTACCAAAGCTGTACTGACAATTTTGAAGAAATACAGGGAAGATGAAGAACAACTACTAGAGAGAAACTAGTGAAGAAATACTATGTAAAATAAACAAGCCATACCACACCCCTGCACCCAAGTCCTAATTCTTGTCTCATGGAGGTCTGGGGTTTAGCTTCTCCTCCTCCTTTTTTGTTTCTGTGCTGTAATGAAGCAGTTTCTAACTTTGCTACTCAAGTTCATGTGAGAAGAGCTCATGGTCTGTCTCTGCAAAAAACAAAAGATCTATATTAAACACAGATGGCAAAATTTGTGTGCTAGAGGTGATTAATAACTAACTTTTATCCCATGGCTGTGGTTTCTAGTGTGGAAAAAAACTTTGAGCATATTTAAAAATTTTAACTGGAAAGGGAGAAAAAGTGATGTTATTTGTTGTTTCCCAGTTCCATTATCATTAAAACGAATTGACTAAGGCATTTTACAGTCAGATCTGTGTGATTCATGAAGCAATCAGCAATGTCAAACCTGTGCATGTTAGAGAGGTGTTTTTTCTTTAAGGAGGAATGAAAACCTAAAGAACTTTCTGAACTTGGGAATAGATCGTTGCAGGCACCAAAGTGGAACATGAGGGAGAAGGCATAGTTTTGAGCATTCTGTTATGTATACAGTAGAGGAGAGAAAAAATAAAGAAACCTTTGTGCTAGGTACTTGTTAGTCATTTTCTGAGATACAAAACCAAACATTGTAAGGCCAAATACAAAGAAATTAGTAAAGCTCAAGTTTGACAGTAGGTAAATATTTGGTTTCCTGAACCCCATATAATGTTCAAGTATCATCATGGACCAGATTATCATTTCAGACAAATACAAATGAGGAGCAAATTAATACAAGTAAGGATCTTTAGCAGAAGTGAGCTGAAGGTTTGTTTAAAAGGCTCCTAAGGCCATTTACAATCTCTGAAAAGGAAGTTTTATCACTGAAAAAATGGCAACTGTGATGAGTGTTTCTGTTCCATTCAAACAGAATCAATTACATATGAGAAATTCAGTCTTCATTCACTCTGTGTTCCATCACAATATGGCTGTAACATAGTTGGAGATAATATTCCAACAAAGAATTTTTGCAAAGAAGTTTTGGTTCAGTAAAGTATTGCATCGAAGTTTCCTTCTGATTGAAATTCTCTAATTTTGGAAGCCTGACGATTGTGTGATTTCAGCAGATCTTTCTCAACTAGAAAAGCAAGTTGCAAGAAGTTTTCTTCTTATTGCAAAGTGACTTTACCTAAAAATCAACACTACACTGAATCACATTTGGGGTCATAAATGTGTGCTTGAGTAAATTTTCTCTGCAACAGAGTTTTATTTAATTGTGTCTGTTTTGTATATCTCACCTTTTAGCCTGCACATAAACCTTTGTAAGGCAGGAAAGTTGACACAGATGCTTTCCTGAACTGGTATGCTGAGCATTGTAGAGCTAACACTGTGTTCAACTGTTTTGAAGCATTAATTACAGTTCTCATTAAAATAGGTATAATGGGAAAATTGAAAGTGAACATACTTTTTTTATTTAAAACCTGTTGGCAAACTATGAACTTCTGTGCACAGCCTCTGTAAGTCTTGGAAGTAGATTGGTCTCAAGTGAAGAGCTTGTGATGTTTTGCCAATCTAAGGATGAAATGTTGCCATGTTGTTTTGATTTTGTCTAACACTCCTGACACACTAAGTAAGGTTTATGTATTCTTTATTTTGAGATAATTTGTTTACATGTACTTTTCTTTTTGCTTTCTGTTTTGCTTACATTCTGACTGTCACTTCACACATTTGTTTTGTGTCATATCTGTACCTGCCTCTTATTTTTCTTTAGTCCAAAATTTGAGTTCTTGTAGAAGTTCTTGACAGACCATGTGTTTTATGTGTTATGTCAAACGTATGCTTATACTGAAATGCTTCTTGTAATTGAAAAAAAATTGTCTGCAGCTACAAATGCTTATTCAAATTGTTGGTTTTGAAGCATGTAACATGGCATTTACCTGGAGATTGTTGTGATATCAGGTGATAAACTTCAGGTTTTCCTATGCAACCCAAATTCGAAGAACTAGTCCTTTGTATTGCATTTTGTCATAGTAGTACTACATAAAAGAACCATTACCTAATATACTTCTAAACAGAAGGTGACTGCATTGTCAAAGACTGCTGGTGAGTAATTGCAGACAGTGTGCCAGACTGTGACTAACTGGGTACAAAATTTTAAGATTAAATCATTTACAAACTAGTAATGAGTTTTCAATGCAGCTTTTCTTCCTGTAATCTAAAATACTTAAAATGGACTTAATTTTAAATGTTAACAAAGTATTGTCTGTATTTATTTGTTAGCAAATGCAAAACGGTCTCTTAGTAAGTGCTCCTTTTTGGGTTTGGGGATGACAGCATTGTTCAGAGTAATTGAAAGGAAATTAAGTAAATGGTCAGATTCCACATAAGAAAATAAAGGAAACGTCACTCTAGCCATTATCTGGATACAGTCAATATAACAGCATGTGTACTCTGTACTTTTGAGGTAATGTGGTAGTCTAGATTTTTTTTTTTTGCTAATGAATAAGCATTTGTCATGTAAAAATCATCCCTGAGGAGGTATCTCACATAAGGAATTAGTGCAGTTGAAGACACATATGGATCACAGAGGGTCATTAATTCAGAGATCCTGTTAGAGCTCAGGTGGAGTACATTGCATTTTTTCCCTATTTATTATATATCCCAAGGTGTGACAACAAAAATATCCTCAGTGCTAGTCTATTGTGAATGTTCATTGGTTATGTACAGTAGTGATAGAGAGCTTTCATGTGTGAATGCTGCTAGCCTAGGGGGAAAATAAATTGAATAAAGTAAGCAGTGAGAATTACCTGTTCATAGAGTTTTACTTTGTTAATGTTAGAGTATATATGGCCATGGTGTTCAACTACCTGGTAGGGACCATGCACAAATGGTTTCTAAAATAATGGCGTTTTGGCTGAGTTTTGGGGGTTTTTCCATCTTTCAGCAATACTTTAGATATCCAACTGCGTTGACTTAAGCCTCAGGCTATGCCAGAGGAGGTTCAGGTTGGACATCAGGAGGAATTTCTTCATAGGAAGTGTTGTTAAACATTGGAATGGACTGCCACCCAGGGGGGTGGTGGAGTCACAATCTCTGGAGGTGTTCATGAAACAACTGGATGTGGCACTTGGTACCGTGGTCTATTTGACAACACAATCATCAGTTGAAGGTTGGACTAGAAGATCTTAGAGGTTTTTTCCAACCTTAATGATTCTGTGATTTGAAGATCATTGTAACCTTTATGTTACTCAAGATGTTTTTTGCTTGCATTATGTACAAAAAAAGCCAAGTCTGAAGACAAAAATAAACTGAATGCTGCGTTGCAAAGACTTGTGGAAAAATCCAATCTTTCTTTCTTTTGTTGCATCCTAGGAGGCTTTTCGATGGGAGGTGGAATGGCAATGCATGTAGCATATAGGTTTCATCAGGATCTGGCAGGAGTCTTTGCACTGTCTAGTTTTCTCAATAAAGACTCTGCTGTTTACCAGGTGAGTGTGTGGTAGACATTATAGAAAAACTGCTTAGCTGAATGGAAAACATGGTAATTAAAATTGAATATAGCATGTTTATTCATCTGAGGCAATTGATTCATATTCTAAACTTATACCATTTCCTGGAAATAAATAGATAGGCAGACTATTAGGGAAGTGAGGCTTTAAAGCTGTCCTTACATGATGTTGTGTTGATTTTTTTGCATAGACAGTACAATTATTAGAAGTGTAGAAGGAGATTAAAAAATGAATTTCTTTGCTAGTTTTCCTCAGTTGTTAAAGAGTCTGTCTAAGCATACTGTTCTTTGAAAATTTGTGATGAATTATAATACTCATGGGCTCCATCTGCTGTCGTGGATTTTTTCTATTTTTCTTATTTGGAGAGGGGTATAGACCTTAAAGTAAACCCTATAATTTGTAAAGAGTTAGCATATTGGAATTTAAAGGCATTTTTTTCCATTTTTTTCTTGTTTGCTTTTGTAGAGATACTACAGTATGACCACTAAAATGCAGATTAATAAATGCAATGCTATGTAAGTTGTCACAATGTAATTGTAACTATTCTTTTAATTTTTTTAGCAATGTGTCTGACAGTTTCTCCTCTCCATCTAGGCTTTGAAAAGAAATGAAAGTGTTCTTCCAGAGTTATTTCAGTGTCATGGAACTGCTGATGAACTAGTTCTCTACTCATGGGGTGAAGAGACCAACAAGATGTTAAAGTCACTGGGAGTATCAGCATCACTTCATACTTTTCCAGATCTCAATCATGAGTTAAACAGAACTGAAATAGAAAAACTAAAATCCTGGATTGAAAAGAAATTACCTGTCGAAGCAGCAAAGGCAAACTAATAAAAGAAGATCCAGCCTCATGTACTTCTTGATTTTTGTGGGTGTAAGATCATGTGTGGTGGGTATATGAGTGTCCCATATCCATTATATAAGCACAACTTCAGGTAGACACTCTTATCATTCTTAAAGTTCACCTAAGTGTTAAAATGATGGTGCTGACTATTAAATCTCATTTTATTGTATGGGTTTCTTTTTCTGTTCCCTTGTCTAGTTTTTAAATACACATCCACATCAGACTACAGAATATAATGACCAATGATATTAAAATTATTTCAAAATAATGAAAACAGTATTCAGAAAGCATTGCTCTGAATCTCCCAGATACATTTTTTGGTTTTGGGGGAGGGACGGGTGGAAGGGGCTCCAGGGGTTGTTCTAAGAGGAAAAAATACACAATGGTATGGTTGTTTATAATGGCATTACAACAGAAAAGGGCCAGTTATTAAAATAATGCATACATTCAAGTTAGTTCAGGGAGAGGAACTGTATTGGCTTCAGCTGGATTCTCAGCATATGGGAATGAACCTGCCTCAAAGCAGGCTTGTATGTCACCTCAAAAAAAATGAGGTTTATGTTATATTTTAAAAAAGTTCTAAGTAGCTGTGTTTAGCTATACCACAGACCCTTGTTATTACCCTTTGTCATTGTTTTGTTACTCAGAGATCTGGCTTTGTTTGAGTTTCTTGAGCCCTGTGTGGTTTATAGTGTAGGTTTAAAAAAAAGAAGTGCCATCGTGATTGTTAAGATCTATCCTGTTTTTGAAGAAATCATTCTTTGGGCACTGTTCCTGTAGAAACTTATTTTTGCCAAGAGTTTTCTTTTGGCCTGCAAGATCGCATTTTAAATTAAAAGATGAGGATACTAGACTCCTTCATGAATATTTAAAAGTTGTAAATAATGATTGTGATATAAAGAAAACTTGTATCCCGTTATTTTAATGGTGGATGATTCATCTCTGTGTCAGTTTGATAAATTAACTCAGAGTATAAATATCTATTCTTATGTAATTGTAATGCTTTTTTTATTTCTCCCCCTTCTGCCCCATTTTCTACTCCCCAAATTCAGTAATTTTTTTAGCATGACAAGGTATTCAGCCTTTTGCCAAGGCCAATAGATCCAAGTCTCTTGCTTAATCTTTTCCTTTTCCCTTTTCTGAGGAGTGGATCTGGGACACCGTTGTTTGCTCTGTCACAGCAGATTGCTGCCAGTACTGACTACGACTCCAGAAATATCAGCCAGCTCTAGGGGACTGAGAATTTTATTTGAATCCTCATGCACCGAGACCTAAGCCAGCTTTTACCTATCTTGAAGAATAAGCAAAGGGAAAAAAAATGTCACTGTTCAAGTACAAGGCATGTAATTGGCAGTAGCAAGTAACAACTTCCTGCTGCTAAAAATATTTTGCTTTATTTCATTTTCCTAGCATTAGCAAGTCAGCAGTCTGTTCTGAAAAACAGCATTTTAAATGGCACATGAAAACTCAGCTATTTGAAACAGTAAGTGAACAGCAGTTTTTCCTGGTGCCCTAGGCTTCCTAATTACTACAAATTAAATTGAAACAGGTGTGTCCAGAGGCAGCTGAGCTAACATTGCCTTGGCCCAAGTCTAATTACAATCCTCAACGAGTGAAGTAGTAGCATTTTAGCAATAATACATAATTTTGAGTTTTGTCCCATTTTCTGCTCTTCCTGCAGTTCCTATCAAGAGGCTATTTGAACCACTAATGCAAGGTGGTAATTCATTTTGGTGACAAGTGCATTCAGATGAGAAAGTGGCAGGTTTCTGGCAAGGTGGCTTTTAAAAAGGTCAGAGAACGGTGTAAAATGGTTGAAAGAAGATTGTGGAGGGAATAGAAATTATTACTGAGCCAGACCCAGTTCCTTTGATTGTTTTTGCAGTGTCAATAGTTGCAAATACAGTGGATGCAGAGTTTGGCTTAGTTCCCTTGATATAGGCTGAGAAACAATTACAAATGTCTTCATTTCATGACATCCTTAGAAAATAGGAAGTCCCCAGTTTGCTTTCTTCCATCTTCCTTGGCTTGTGAGTGAAATGCCAACTAATCAGGCAATGTGTTGTGCCATAAGACTATAAATCCACTGGGTATATATTGTAATGGAGTCCCAGATCTCAGAGTTTTTGAGGTCACTTTCAGGATGTTGGAAAACTCAGTGGTTTTCCTTTAGTCTGCAGGAAGCTACATACAGTGAGGACACTGTGACTCGCCGATCCCATTTACTGAGGATGGTGTGGCTCTGTGTCCCAGATGGTGCCTAGCCCATATTGGACAAACAGATTGAAGTTTAGCCCAGAAAAATTTGGACTGCTGGTTGGTATTGAGAAGCAGCCAGAGGCAATATTAGTCCTTGAAGACAGTGGGCCTGCTGTTAGATCTCTAGTCAAATAAAAACTTTAATAGTCAAAATTAGCCCAGCTACTTGACAGCATATTTCAGAAATAATTCAGATAGAAGTTCTTTTGACCTGACCCTTTTTTAGCACACTTAAAAAAATTCATTTTTAATTTGATACTGAAAGCAGGGCAAGGGTTTATTTGCTGAAAGGACATCCCAGCAGTTGTGGCACTACAGCTCCAGAACCTGTGAGCTGATTTCTGGGTGGAGTTTGAAGTGCTTCATAGAATCTTTAAGGATCAAAAAGAGTTCCCTTTTGACTAACTGGTTGCATGTTGCTGGGACAGAGTTCCTGTAGCAGGTGGCAGGGCATATGGAGCCCTGAACTTGTATGTCTTATCAGCTGAATCTAGATTCAGATGAAGGGAATGAAAAAGAACACAACTGTTTTCATTCACCCCTAATGCTTCACTCCTGATCATATAAAAATTTTACAGAGAAAGGTACCATCTACTCTTAGGAGGAGCAAACTTGAGGAGCTCTCTTTTTTTTTTTTCCCCCTTCTACATGAACTTTCTTCTGTTTCTCTTCATATTTAAATATACAGTCCTGAACAGCATTTTGAGGAATAAATTGCAAAATTTAAGTGCCAAGAATAAACTGTACCACTTGAGTTACTGAAGATATGAGAACATAACTTAGAAAGAAGGTGGCTCTGTGCTGCTCCAGAAGAGGTAGGAGCAATTATTTGGAACACTGGTTTATGTTCCTACTGTAACTCTTTTGAGGTCTTTTTTTCTTTCCTTTCAAACTTAGCTAAGAGTTTGAGTTTTAAGTACAAACTTTTAATACTGTTTAAAAATATAACTGGAATAACTGACTGACTAAATCCATACAGGTTGATATTGTCTTGGGGCTTGATACTGTTTTGGTGAAACACACGATTCAATAAGCAAAAGAAAACTAGTTTAATGTAAATTTTAACTCTCCTGGGCTCAGTTACAGTGTTCCATACTGCTTCAGAAACAAAGCACTAGTGTTTGGACTTTTTTTTTCTTTCTACTTTTCTGACGCTACACATTTGTATTTCAGATGTTTGAAATTTGGGACTAGATCATTACTGTGAACTTGGGTGCCTTCTGAGTAATTAATGTGTTCTTACAGATGTATAGAGCCAGAGAACAAATGTGAGTAAGGCAGAAATTGGCTGATCAATGTGGGAAGCCAGAAGTCATTGGTAATGTAATTTTGACGTTAAAGTAAGAAGTTCTCTACTTAAATTAATCTCTTCTCATGTTAGATCTTTCACTGCCTTTTTAGTAAATCATCTTTAAAACCATTTAACAAGTCTCTACAGATGAAGTGAGCCAAGTGGGTGAATGTAACTTGTATTTATAAAGATGAGATCCAGATGGCAAAACACGGAAATGAGAACCTAGTGGACGATGTTAGAATGAAACTTGTTAAGATGGAGGAAACCGGATATGAATTTACTTTTCAGTTGACACATGTTCTAGGACAGCTGAGAAGATTGCTTGGGAGATCTTAGAAGAAAAACCTGTTCTCTGAGTTTTCCAGCTTGAGTCACCCTTCATTTCTGATGCAGCTGGTTAAAGGTGCTCTAGAGGAAGGAAATAACACAATTACTGATTTATGCTGTTTCCTAAATCCTCTTGTTTATTTTCTAAATCCTCTTCCATTGTGGGAATCTGATATCAGTACTCAGAAGAAAGAGAAGCTGGCAGTTCCATTTTCAGTACCAAGTTGTCTGTTCAAATGTTTCTCTATGCACTGCAATGGCACTTAACAGCATTCTGTTCATATCGACTGAGCAGTAGCACCCAGCATATGGGAGACAAGTGTTTTTCCTGTACAGAGTTGTCAGTGAAAATATTTGTTTTTACTAATGAGACCCTGAAGGAAAAGCCAATGGTTTCCCCGCTCCCATTCTGTACTTCAGTGTCTAGTATTAGCTGAAGATGTGAAGCCTCAGAGGAATTAATTTCTCTGCCCATCTGAGCACATTCACCCATGTACTAGGACTTAAAATGCTATATGGTCAATTTAACGAATATCTTTTTTTAGTATAGACCTTTGTCATTATTCATTAAAACATTGCTTTTCTTAGGTTGGTGCCTGCAAAATAATTACGCTTGTTCACCCCCTCTCTTAAGGAGGGTTTAAATTTGCAGTTGAAATAGAGAATACAGTATCCTGCATCAGTCTGCTAATCACTGGTTTCCATAATTTCCTGGGAGTATGGAATACTGACCTGCAGCCTCTTAGGCAGGGATGGGAAATGAGCTTGTTCCCTGTGCCCTGGTAAGCATTGTGTTTACTGAACAGATAGATTAAAAAAAAAATTAATTTAGAAGAGCCAATGGTGTGGATCTAGTAAGACCCCTTATTCCCTAGGGCACAGTGTTGAACCTGACTACCTTAGCTGACCTGCTGTCATTGAGATAGGTTTTGTGAGTTTGAAGTACAGAAATTCCATCCTTCTGTTAAGCATGTGAGGGCCGTAGCCACTGCTTTAGTGAGGAGGCATCTGAAATCTTTTGTGGGTTCATTGTGTGAATCTATAGGAGCCCTTAAAAATGCAAGTAAAAGTTGGTTTCTCCTCATTAAGTGCTTTAGAACAGTTGTGTAATGAGTGCTAGACATTATTCTTGGATCATTAATTCCTAGTGACAAGGAAGTTAGATTCCTGAGAACAAAGCCAATGAGACTTTGTAACCTGGGCCTTAATACATAGGGGAGATTGTCTAAATAGACCGCAGATTCCCCACCTCAAAGGGCCAGCATTTTGTGTTTGGAGGATATTTTGCCCAGGGT